ATAAACATGAATTTTTTTCTGCAAGAAGAAAGAGAGTTTAAAGTCAAAAGGAGATTTATTGTCTTTTTTGTGCAATTGGAATGTTCTTTCAGAGCTTTCTGCTTTACCAGTGGTTAGAAGATAGTCTAACTACAGGAGAGAAGGCTAATGAAGACTTGTATGTTATCAGAATTGACTCAGAAGAAATTGAAGAGCCCAACAAGTCTTTAAATGGTAGTGAGGATCAACCGTCAACTCCAAAACGAACTAGAAATCCCCCTGATGCTGGTGATATTGTAGCCTTTGAAAGCCAAACCAATACAAAAGGATCGATGGATTCACCTACAAGTTGCAGTGTTCCCTCTACTAGTGCCAGTCCTGGTGAAGGCATTTCAGAGACTCCCACTAGTCCACAATCAGAGGTAAGCCTGACTGACTCGTTTGCTGATGCTTCTTTTTGGTTCTTAGGAAGTTAACTATACGAGAAGCCGTTTGCTATTTCTGCTCCCTCAGCAAGAATGTTGTTGCAATTTAAAGTTCTTATTGATCGATCTACTTTTGATATATAGTCCACATCGGTGTACAAACCACCCGATCTGAACAGAAACATCACAGAGATATTTGGAAAGCTAATAAACATATATAGAGGTACGGTCACAGGTGTTCGTTTTTTATATATCTCTTTATAAGACCTTAAGTGACAATCTTTTTTTGTTTTTGTTTTTTCAAAAGCTTTGGGTGATGATAGGCGGTCCTTTAGCTATTACAAAGCTATTCCGGTCATTGAAAAGTTCCCCTCTAGGATTGAAAGTGTTGATCAGCTCAAACACCTCCCTGGAATTGGAAAGTCATTGACAGATCATGTGAGTGAAGAAAATATGTGTATGTTTGTACATGTGGGTGTCAAAACCTTTAATGCTTGTGGTACTTCCAAATTTTCCAGCTGCTCTGAGCTTCTAAGCTCTTGTATCATTAATAGCTTTTGTATTATTGGTGTTGCACTTCATTAAGCTATAGGTTATTTTTCTTGTGTGAAGCTTCACTTTTTGATAATCTTTTGGCAAGCACTACATAGACCAATGCATTTTCTTCTCCAAGTAGCTACCTATAACCGTTATTATGTAATTCTGCGAGAACATAACTTTATTCTTCTACCTGAGTTTGGCAGATTCAAGAGATCGTGACAACAGGCAAGTTATCCAAGTTGGAACACTTTGAAACAGATGAGAAGGTAACTTTGAAGTCCTCAGTTTAAGTCGTTCTTCCATCTTCCATTTTCAGTTAAATATAAGCTCACTGGTAGAGTTTCGATGTCTGATACTTTTCCACTGTTAATTGTTTACCACTTCAAATGTTTCCTTACTATGATCAAAGGTACGTACTATCAGTTTGTTTGGGGAAGTTTGGGGTATTGGTCCTGCAACTGCACTCAAGCTATATGAGAAAGGACATCGTACACTAGAAGACTTGAAGAATGAAGATTCACTAACGCATTCACAGAGGTTGGGCTTGAAATATTTTGATGATATTAGAACAAGGATTCCACGTCAGGAGGTGTGATTCTTAGACTTTGACGTGAATATTGTTTATCTTTTCTATCCTTGATGTAGTTTTCTGCTTCATATTCTCCCACTTTCTGTGTTGTAGGTGCAAGAGATGGAACAACTACTACAGAAAGTTGGCGAGGAAATTTTGCCTGGTGTATGAACTTTTCAGTTTATCGGTTTGCTCCATATTTGGATGTAGAAACTTTGATGGAATTCTTACAATGGCATTCGAGAATCTTTCTTGCAGGTGGATATTGTATGTGGAGGATCATATAGACGTGGGAAGGCTACTTGTGGAGATCTAGATATCGTTATCACACATCCTGATGGACAAAGGTACATACAATCTTGTTCTCTTCTTCTTCCTGAATTAGTTTTGAAATATCTCTTTTGCATATTCTGGTTTCCATTAGCAAAATTTACTAAGACCGGTCTTTGCTTATTGTCCTGACCAGTCACAAGGGCTTCTTGACAAAGTTTGTAAAGCGTTTGAAGGAAATAAACTTTCTTAGAGAAGATCTCATCTTCAGCACCCACAGTGAAGAGGTAACTTTGATTTTTTTTTTCTCCAGTTTCTTCTGCGTTTGGCTGGTTAATTGTTTCAATACCGTAGAACATGAGCTCTCTTAGCATTAGATAAAAAAAATACTCCGAGAATGCTGTGATACAAAAATACTCTTGTTCAATCACATTTCTCCTCAATGATTGACCTTATCGTGCAGGGTACTGATTCAGGCGTTGACACGTATTTTGGTCTGTGTACTTATCCTGGTCAGGAGCTACGACGTCGTATCGATTTCAAGGTAAATGCTGTCATGCTCAATGCGAAAAAGCTCTAACTTGGGTTAATCAAACAAGCAAAAATGGATTCTCGATTGGCCATTGCAAATGATGGATCATCATCTGAAAAAAATATTCAATAAGTACTCTCTTTTGGCACAGGTTTATCCAAGGGATATATATGCATTTGGACTCATAGCATGGACTGGGAACGATGTTTTGAACAGAAGGTAATGAATAAGATATAACCCCATATGCATGTCACCAAATATATTGATATCTATGTTCCATGGAAACTGCAGGCTGAGATTGTTAGCCGAATCCAAAGGATATCGACTCGACGACACTGGACTATTCCCTGCCACTCATAGCTCTAGTGGTAATCGGGTAAGTGAGAAAAAAACGCATGCTTTGTTTGTTTTAAAAGTGAATGTAAGATTATTATTTTTGAAGCTGTGTTCATGTATCTTTGTCAGGGTGCTAGAGCAAGTGCAAGTCTGAAACTCTCAACGGAGAAACAAGTTTTCGAATTCTTAGGGTTTCCTTGCCTCGAGCCACACGAGAGGAATCTCTAAGCTAATGTAACTCAGAAAGTCTGTCTTAAGCTAACAAAACAAATCTATTTTCATTATGTTCTTCTGTAAATAATCAAATGTCAATTTTTAATTTAATTTACCTTTTTTTCTAAAATACCTAATTTAACACGTGTCATAAGGAGGTACAGTAAAAC